ATTATAGTGATCATTGTACAACTTGGTATATTTACTAAAAACTATTGAATTGTACATTTAGAACTTGTAAATTTCACATTATGTAATTATACTTAAATAAAGCTGTTTAGTCAATTTTTAAACAAAACCTATTTGCTGTGCTGTCTGCATCACAGTCTTTCAATCTAATACTCTTCTAGGAACCCTAAAATAAACCCTGGGTTTGAGGGTACAAGATAAATTATTTGCTAATTCTGGCAACTCTAGTCTGTCCTTACTCATTCAACATCCACAGGGCAGGGAAACAGACTTGGAGGTGGACATCTGTCCTTGTAATCCACCCCATCCCCCAGAGTGATTCTACAAAGCCTGGGACAGTGGGCCTGGGAGAGTGGGATGGGGAGCCCAGGTGATGCAAATAGCAAGGTGAGAGAGAGTGGGGACAGAGGTCATTACCAGTGTGGGTATGGGAGGTGAGTGCAGACTCAGTGAATGGGAATGGCCAGAGCCAGAGAATGGAAAGGCCAAGGCTGGAGGTGGGGTGTAGCTTACTTTCTACCATGCCCCATGCTAACCATACCCCAACAACACAGTGAGGAGGATGCCATTGGCCATTGCACAGATAAGGACAAAGAGATCCAAGAGATTAAGGAAACTTCAAAGCTCACATAGCTGGTTAGTGGCAGAATCTCAGTCCAGGTCCAGCTCTGTGGCTTCTTACTATGTTGCCCTCAGTAGAGTGCTGTGGCATCACAATTCACAACAACCTCAAACTCTTGGGCTTAAACAATTCTCCTCCCTCAGCCTCCCAAGTAGCTGGCACTACAGGCACCCTAACCACTGAGCTATGCGCGCCAAGCCAGCTCTATGGCTTCTTATTGAAATGCTTTCTACAAAAGCAGTGGTTAAATCAGGCTCTGGGCTCCAATAACCCAGAGTCAGACCCTGCATCTTCACTTACTACATTTGTAGCTTCTGGCAAGTTCCTGGAGTCTCCTGAGCGGTAGATCCTTCATCTTAAAAAATAGAGATGATGGCTCGGCGCCTATGGCTCAACTAGCTAAGG